AGAGCAGAATGGCGGACCAAGATTCGTGTAGCCGACCACAGTTAGTTGGAAAAAGGCTCCGATGATGATGATGATGATGATGAGGATGATGATAACATATATATACATATGGAAAAGTATACAAGGAGACCATTTACTTTTGGTACAAGGAAGTCACAAACATTCTAGTCCGTCAAGCTTCAAATTGGATGGTTGTAAGCGTGCCATTGACAAAGACTCAGTTCAAAAAAATTTTCTTGAACTTCGTGACACACCTTAAGCCATCTAATTTTGCATCTAATGGTTAGGAGTACCTATGACCTCCTTGTAACAAAGATAAATTGTCTCATAGTATACAATATATTCATATTATTGTTTTTTTAAAGTGTTATATAAAAATTGAAAAATGTATGATCCGCTTTTTAGAAACCGCTCCGGTTTGGACAACCTTGGCAACTCCCCTCTTTGTAACAAAAAATGGTCTTTGGGTGGTAGTTAACTACAAACTTGACAAAAGTAAATAAAATAAACTAACATAAAAGATGCCGGTTCAAAATTCAATAACAAATTTCAAGAGGATCGAGATCCCTTCAAACCATTATCACAACCCATTTTCAGTGGGGTTGCAATCCCCTTCCAAAGCGATCAAAATCCCTTTTAGACAAGGATCAAGATCCTTATAAGAAAGGGATACAGCTCCCTTGATGGGAGGAGCAAGCTCAGCTTAAGCTCCTGCTCAAGGATCGTCGAAGTGAGATTCCAAGGATGGGTAGCCACCCCTCAACCACTCCCCACAACCGTTTGGTAGATGCCGAACCCCTCATAAAAACTTATCAAGTAGGGACAAATTTACTTCTTTTTTATTCTTGGTCCCCAAACCCTGTTATAGACTTAGGTTTCCGAACTATTTCCCACTTAACCAAATATATTATATATTCCTCTACTACCTCATTCCACAAAAATTATCTGAAATTTTTACAACCTTTAGATGATGTGCATAGGCATCAGGAACAATGACATGTGACAAACTAGAATTTTTTATTGTGCTGTCTTTATCAATGTAATCTAGCCACCTAGTGATAAGTATTGGCACTTCCAAGTACAGTATTATTGCTGATTTAATGGGCTTACCCATGAAATGAGGCAGAACCAAGTAGCATTTAAACGTGACTCCATTTCACACCCAAGGTACACTTATGTCACGCCAATCTCTATGAATTGTGTCTTTATACTACCCTATCACCAACTTCAGACACCTAAAAAACCAGAAATGATCAATTTGTTGTGGTTGTACATCACAAGAATGTTTGCATATTGTAAATGGGATGTGGCCCCGCCCTCCTTTAGACGTTGCAAATCCCACGAGCAAACCATGTCTATAAACGCCTGGGAACCTAAATCGTTTCTGGAATCGGAATTGCGGCTGCCTAGAAGATTCCTATTTTAGGAAACGATGTTCATACAATGGGAATCGTGGGGAATGAGATTCCTAAATTCTTGGAATCGTTGGGGAATGAGATTCCTAAATTCCTGGAATCACATCTCAACCAAAATAGATTCGAGATTCATCCACATCTGAGATGCTGGCCTCCTTGGAATTGAGATTCCCATGCCTTGGAATCGACACTCGAGAAGTCAAGATTCATTGACATGTGGAATCGAGATTCCGATATCTATGTAATTGAGTTTTTGGCATATGTGGAACAGAGATATGTTGCACTTTAGAATCGCGATTCCAACATCTTTGGAATCGAGTTTATGATGTATATGGATCCAAGATCCATCCCAGTTTGAAATCAAGAATTAAATTAGTATGGAATGAATGAGTTTGACCCCTATCAAGAATCAAGATTTCAATTACATGGAGTAGGAAGCCCATACACATCTTGAGCCTCATCAACTTTAGAAATTATATCAGATGTCTCTTATTAGACTCAGAGAGAAAATTTTAAACTGATTATTGTTTACTATTGAACTTAAGGTCAAATAATCTACTAGGAAAATTATATACAAAATATCTATTTCAAAATTGGGATTTTGACTTCATTATTATATAAACAAAATACGATTATGTAGACAAAATACGATTATATATTTCTAAAAGATAAGGAAGCAAGATTCCAAATTGATTGAATCGCACTTCCCTATTCCTATGAACCGATGTATTGTACATAGTAGATTCTAGATTTAAAACCCAAACAAAATGAGAATCATTACATGTGGAATCATGTACCATTCAATATGGACTCAAGATTCAGTCTTTGCTGGAGTCACGATTCGATGTATTTGGGAACGACTGTCCACAAATAATGGGTTCAAAATTCTAAAGATGTATCGAAACGAGATTCCTAAATTAAGGAATCGAGATTCTATTGTTCCAAGAAACAGTTTCGACGAAGAATCCTCAATGGAATCACCGAATTGGGTTTCCAAACTGGAATCGCGGGGTTGGCAAAGAGATTTCAGTAACTATGAGATCAACTGAATATTGCAGGGGATCACCTTGGAACAATCTCCTCAAGGATGAGAAGCACCCTTGATGCAATCCACTAAAAATAACCAAGATGTCGACAAATGATAGGAATCCTGACATCCAATGCATCCTCCTTTCTTCAAAACCCATCTTTGCTATCACCTGAAACAATACCTTCCAATCTATGATTGCATGGTTTTTCCATATCAAATTCACATAATACCTAACTTCATGATAGGTATTTGTTCGAAGCACTAGTGTGCTAAGCATCTATAAAGCATCTGTCTCCTCTCCACCACTGCTCCTTATGTAAGAGAGGTAATCCATTCAAGCACTTGTCTTAGTCAGAAGGTAAGGACATTTGTAACTATTTTATAAGAAGTGTTATATATTATGAATTACGGAAGTGAAATTTGAATGTCTTTATGAAGGCATCGAATCTGCACTAAACAACTCCACCTGTTCAGAATTGTACCGATAGCTCAAATAGGGGACAGAAATGGCCTTTTGTTTCTAATATTTTTTTAATTTTAAATTTTTTTATTTTTTCCTATTTTTATTTTGAGTTTTAATTTTTTCCTATTTTTATTTTGAGTTTTACTTTTTTCCTATTTTTATTTTGAATTTTAACTTTTTCCTATTTTTATGATTTTATCTACTTTTCCCAATATTTTTTGTATTTCATATTTATTAATTATTTGATTTCTTGAACCAATCCAACTAGTGAACGTCCTTAGTTCGGCCTGTCCAACTGGACTAGTGCCCTAACCAATTCGGTCCTGACATTATTTGTCGAATTAGGATGATATTTCATAGGAAAACCACTTGGGCCTAGAGTTTTATCCTAGCGCATCTTCGTGATTGAGTTCCCCTTCATCAAATGGTCAATCTAGCCATTATTCTTTTCCTTTGGGATATCTAACTATGCAATTTTAAACACTCAACCTCTCTCTTTGATCTAAAGCATATTACTCCTAAGTATGCAATTAGTTATTCCAGGAACGAAAGTCGTAATCCTATCACCTTGAGCCATTTGATCCAAGATCTCTAAAGCCAAAAGATCTCTTCTTGCTTTAAGGTACTATGAAATTTTCTTTGGCCACCACTGTTCTGCTTCTTTCAAACTAGCAACAGGTCTCTAGACTCCTCAACCACACCCAAGTTGTAGATCTCATCCAAGAAAGCCTCAATTCTTGTTATCAAGTTACCAAAGTTTTCTCCTCTCCATGCTTTCAATTTCCCTTTCAGCAATTGTGATTTTTGCAAAGTCTAAAACCAGGCGATACTTGTACTTTAAATCAATTCCACCACATAGGTATGAGCATATGTAATTTTTTAACTTGGAGCCACATGAGCTCGAATCCAACCCAGCCAACCCAGCCAGGTCCACTATTTGCTGATGCCATATCTCGCATGATCAAAAAGTGAACTAATACTAGTATAGTTAGCACTACAGAATATACTCCTGTGAAAGAAGATCCCCAATTTGTAGAACTCAAGAAGTGTTTTTTGGTGGGAATGGGGCTCTCCTTGTTATTGAACCTGGTGTGTATTGTGCCATTCAGTGGTATGCCCATTCATCGGCTCTCCTTATTGGACCTGGTGCGTAGTGCTCCATTCAGTGGTATATTGATTGATACATGCCTATCAACAAAAGCCTATCATGCACATAGTTATATGACCTCCCTTGTTCTTCTCGAACAACCATCTTATAACATTACAATCCATCTTATAACATTACATTCCCCTCAATGCACCATGGTAATTATGATTACAACAGAACTAGATCAAGTCCAGTCCAAAACTCCTCCCTGAGAGCAGGCCAGTTGGGACTGTACTATTGTGTACAGTCCTTGTTTTTGGGTTTCCAGGTTGCACAAGGGTGATGGTGACTGAAAATTGAGTTATCATACTCAAGAGTCACCGTCAACAATATTGTTGCAATGCCAAAGAGTTAGAATTCCATAGGAAAACAAGAGCCACATCGAATTAATGGCGCCCAACCAATTGCACACACCATATTACCAAAAGAAATAATGGTAACCACCACAATCACCAGCAACAAATGAATTGCATCAATAATTTGCATGTAAAACGATTTCAGTAAGGGGATGAAGAACCCTTGTTTCACATAAGGGTTCCAAATGAATTATTTCTAAAAGCAAAACCAAGTTATATGCTAATCTGTACATAACAAAGACCCCATTAGACACAGGGCAAGACAAAACCATTAAATTCCTCTTAAGTTCCAAGGCCCAAACATGACCTTACAAGAAAAAATACCACCTACAAAGGCAAGTGAAAAAGAACAAAAAGATTTCAAACATGCAAACTTCAATTATTAACATTTTGACTACAGAGTTTACAGAAATGTATATGATAATATCTAACTGAGATAACTATGTTATATGGAAAACCTTTAAGAAAATATCAGACCACCGCTCCTCAAAGTTAGCATATACATATTTCTAACACTCCCACCCACCTTCGTCCACAAATTAAACCAGAACCATTCAACGATATCCACTGAAAAAATAAAAGATTACAGTAGCCAGCAGAAAAAGAACTTATTAGATACCAACATATATTATCATATCTACATATATTCAAACGATAAACGGTAACGGTTCCTACAAAACCAGCTAAATTGCATACAACCATCTATGCCAATTAAACACTGTTTAACAATGTCCATTAAACCATACTTAGAAAGACCCCAACTACATTTCTTAATGCTGAAAAAAATGCAAAACAAAAAATACACCATCTAATCAAAAGGAAAACATCATCTACACCTGCAACTGTATATGAAATAGAACAAAAGCTTATATGTTGGCTTTCTTGGATTGATTCAAAAAGGGCTCACGAGCTGAGACAAATAGGGTTTGGGCTCGGAATTCATTCCAATGACTATAATTAATGGAATGAAGCCATAATGGGCCACAACCTTAGCCTTTTTCAAGGTCCAAGTGCTCCACTCCTTAACGCATTTCATCTTAGACGGAGGTTCAGATCCCTTGATCTTTCCCAACTTTCCCTTTCCCTTGCCAGAGAGCCTAGACGCCATTGTTTCTTCTCTTTCTACTCTCTCTCCTCTTCTCTGTCGAAACCCTAACGAGTAAATGGATCGAAAGTCGAAACCTCCTATTCTTGTTTATATTTTGGTGTGAAATTAAAAAACTAAATCCATTTCTCTTATTAAAAATAAAAGACGGTAGTTAAAATATATTCGGGTCGGTGAATTGGCTATTTGGAGAGGGACTGCGTTTAATCAGTGGGATTTAGCTTTTAAATAAATTTAAAAAAATTATTATAAATTATTATAAATATTATTTTTTAGGTATCCAATATGAAATGAGGTATTATATTAGTAACTTTTATTTTTTTGCATCAATATGTAAATATTGAGATGTTTTTTTCTGGTACGAATTGTTGTTAACGATTAAATTTACATCACACAAAAAGAAAAGCATAAAATTATCATGGATGAAGTATATAATCGTATATGGACTACAATAAAGCTTACAGAAATAAAATAATAATAATACATTGCATAATTTATAATGCAAACAAATTAGTAAATAAAATATAAAATTTGGTTATCAATGTATAATTATTAATTATAATATTATAATAAATATGATAAAATTTTATTAAAATATTATTGAATGCATATAAAGAAGGTTATAAAATTCTATTGAATGTGCATCAATAATAAGGTTTAAAAATGCATACAAATGCATGGTGTCTTAAATAGTATTTCAAAGCCTCTAACAAATGCGTATAATGTGTTAACGCTCTTGGCGCTCTAATAGTATTTCACAGCCTCTAACAAATGCGTGGCGCCCAGCAACACTATCCCACATCGAAAATTTGTGGGACTACAAAGAACTATAAAATTCATTCAATCGTCATGAGTGGTACCTACGTGGCATGAGGCATGTGGCGGTTGTTGGACTTACGAAAGGGTGGGGACAAATGTAGTTAGTATAGTATTTTTTTCAAATTCATATTTCCATTTAAACAATGATAACGTTTGATATTTTCATTGTGGAGTCGGTATTGTGTTCAAGTTTACGACGTCAGAAATCATTGTGGAATCGATGTTGTGTTCGAGTTTATGACGTCAAAATAGAGTTTATGACGTATTTGTCAGAATCGCGATTTATTCTGATTCGTGAGATTAAGAATCGTGATTTATTTCGATTCGTATTCATTAGAATCGCGATTTATTCCGATTTGTGAGTTTATGACGTATTCGTCAGAATCGCGATTTATTCTGATTCGTGATATCAGCAGTACGAATCTCGTTTTATGGCCAAATTTGAAAAGGTCTAGCCGATTCTTGATCCATATCGCTTAATTCCGGATCGGATCACCAATTTGTCAAACACTAATAAAACTATCATTCATGGTTTATATTTGGAAAAATTACATATACCCATTATATTTATCATTCTAACGAAAATTCTTTAAAGTTTCTGTTATTACATATATCTGTTTTTTCAACTTCATAACATTTAAAAAAAATTAGGCAAATCTACTCATTTTTAGTTTTACAAAAAGTAAAATTATTAAAGATTTTGGTTTTCAAATACCAAAATTTAATAATTTTGAGACTTTGAAAATCTGAATTTCTATTTTTCAGTTTTTGAAAAACCAAAACTTTAGTGCTAAACCCCATGAAATAACATTATCATACGAGCATTTTTCTCTATATTTTAGGGTTCCAAAAACATTTTCTCCCCCCTACTCTACCGCTCACCCTCTCATAGTCTCTCTCTAGCCCTTGAACTTGAACATAGTTGTTCTATGTCTCATCGTGATTAGTACATTTCTTACTCTTCCCTTATATTATTGATTAAATTTTACTGAATTAATGTAATATTTTGTGTTCGTATTAATATTTATTACTTATCTTTGAAGTGTATTTTTTATGTATTATTATGTACTACATCACGAGTCTATTTAGTGGCCTAAAATTGATTGAGATAAGTGATAATATAGATATATCTTTTATGTTGGGAGGGGAGTCTTCGAGTATTGTTGTATACATTGTATCTGTAATAGAGCCAGAGTAGAGATCAATGGATTTTGAATAACATAACTTGTTGATGATGACCTATCTACAAGGAATATGTATATCTATAATTTACATTTTCATCTATAATTTGCTTTATTTGAATCGTCCATTGCACAAACTTTTGCGTCAACTTATACTCTATCATTTGTTAATAGTCAACGTAATGCACCTTTACCTGATCATCTAGAAAACATCCAAGTGGTGCTTGTCCATATAGAAAATGAGCATGGTTTCTACCACAGCGTGATATGGATGATATTAAACCAATTGAGAGTCCATGTAGAGAAATCGCTAGCGAGTTTGTTTTGGAAATTGACCAATATTTCAACAATATCAATGAATGTCGGTATTATTTAGTTGATTTTGATGTCTACAATAATTTTATTTTAAAGGTTGTCGAAAACGAAGAGGGCGGGTTATTCATAATGAAAGTTGGAGAGATCTTCGACTGAAGATCCCTCATATCTGAACCACAAACTTGTTTTTAAAAGAGTGATATAGATGGTCACACAAATTCTAATCAGAAATGAGCAGATATACTTTCAGATCAATAACAGAGCCAGCGTTGATCCAAAAATGAAATATTGAATGAAAAGTGAATAAAATCCTAAATCTAACAAAAATAATTGAAAAATAAGAGGAAAAGATGATGAGACACATACCTAGCCAGATCAGTTGACTTGGAAACCAAAGGCTTTGAGGCCTCACACGTATCAAGACCGCGGATATGTTTACATTAGGGATCCTCCTTGTCTCTCTTCAATGTAGATCGAGCCTTGGTTTAGTTGAATGGTTTTCTTGGATCTGATCTAAGCTTAAGGTTTGTAAGTTTAATGGCTAGGGTTTGTTAGGTTTTGCTTAGATCTAGGGTTTCTCACAAGTTTTCTCTCTGGTCACTGGAATCTCTCTCTCTAATTTCCTAGGCTAACCACATACTTTGATTTTCCCCACTTTTTTTCTCCTTAGAATGGTCACCCAAATATCTTTTTAAAGATTGAAAAGAGTGTGTAAACAGATAATTACCAAAAATCACAAAATCTACTAGGATACTAGATCACAGGATGCAGACCATGGACTATAGTGGTCTATGTTTTAGGGGCTACTGAAATAGTGTGGTACTAAGGGTTCAGGAAAACCACGAAATTTACTAATTTCATAATGGGGTGTCTACAACTGCCCCTCTTTGGTACTCCCTATCATTCGAGATACAGGTGGGTGGAAATAAAGTAGACACTGTACACATTTTGAAATTCATCATAACATTTCGTAGGGAACACTAATTATCCTTCAATACATTGCGCTCCCTGCTCACTCACCTAGGGCATTTTCGTCCTAAGGTTTTTGGCGTGAGATGTTCCGGTGATTTACGCAAGTTTGAAACTCAAGTTGGATTTTTTGGTCATTCCACTTACAGGGGTTTTCACAGTTTCAAATCTTCTAACTTGGCATTTTCCTTGATTTTCTTTAGAGTTTCCTAAGATTTCAAAGGATTTACTTATTTGAGAAAAGGTTTTCTCGGTCAATTCTAAAGAGAGAGATGAGGCGGCAATGCTGTAGCATCATGTATAGGTGTCCAAGCTTCTTTGTTTAAAACATATTTTAGAAGTTTTGAAAATTGGGAGAGGTTTGAAATAGAACTCAAAACTTGGACAGGTCGCGATTTTAACAAAGAAATTAAAGTTTTTGAAAACAATAACATATAGTGAAAATTTGAAAAGAGCTATATATTGATGCAGTCATGGAATGATAATTTGGATTTTTTTACGTATTTTAATTAATGGTTATATTTTGTGGAATTTTAAGAGTTATGATAGTTTAAATTATTAGAGTTATTTGAATTATTCTTTATGTTGAAGGAGTGCACAAGGATAATTAGGAGGGCATGAATTTATATTGTGTTTATCTTGTATCGATTGGGTTAGTTAGGTTGGAATGTGAATACGATAAGAATAAATCTATGGGGAGTTTTATCTTTTCAGCAATAGGGAGTCTTTGGATAAAAACGTGGGAAGCAAATCTTCTTTTTGGTTTTAGATAAAACGTGAGAGAGAAAATAGGTGGCTTTGGATAACCTACATCAGATATTTTGAAAAACAAATTTTGATTAGCAGTTTTAGCTCCTACAACCATATAGCCTTCTAAGCAGTTTAACGTCATGCACCGATTGACGAATATACCCGACCCCTTACGTGATACGGGGCTAGACGGATACACCCGACATTTTATGTCATACGGGGTTTGACGGATATACTTGACCTTTTATGTCATACAGGGCTAGAGATTTTCTGAATACACCCGACCATTAACGTCATATGAGCTTAGACAGATACCCCCGACATTTTACGTCATACGGGGCTAGACTTTTTTTTAATACAGCCGACCTTTTACGTCATACGAGGCTAGACTTTTTCTGACTACACCTGACCTTTTATGTCATACTGGGCTAGGCGTTTTTGAAGGAAAATGAATTTAATTTGAAAGTTGGCAGTTTAAACTTGTGCCATCAAGGAGCATTTTGGAATGGATATACCCAACCTTTTATGTCATACGGGGGGCAAGACATTTTTAAATGACTTGTCATTTGAAATTGGTTGGTAGTTTAGGCTCATGCCACTGAGGAGCATTTTTTTAACTTCTTTTTTATTTTATTTTTAATGAAATTTTTTTCATTTGAAATTGGTTGGCAGTTTAGGCTCGTGCCACTAAGGAGCAATTTTTTTTTTAATTTTTTTGAAATAAAATATTTTTTAAATTGGTTGGCAGTTTAGGCTCGTGCCACCAAGGAGCAATTTTTTTGAACTTATTTTTTTTTAATGAAAGATTTTTCTTTTGAAATTGGTTGGCAATTTTGGCTCGTGCCACCAAGGAGAGAATTTTTTCAAAAGAAGAGTTTTGAAATTTAATTTTGAAGGAATTTTTTTTTTTTTAAGTGTAGTTCTTACAGTTTAACCACTTGTGACCCTTTTGGTGGACCCTTATATGAGCTTGTTGGGTCCTTGTTACTAACTTTAGGATAATGAATCATCAAATACTTAATCATCTTCTAACAACGGCTCTTGTATTTC